CACAGAGAGACATACACAGAGAGACATACACAGAGAGACAGACACAGAGAGACAGACACAGAGAGACATACACAGAGAGACATACACAGAGAGACATACACGGAGAGACATACACGGAGAGACAGACACAGAGAGACATACACAGAGAGACATGCACAGAGAGACATACACAGAGAGACATACACAGAGAGACATACACAGAGAGACATACACAAAGAGACAGACATAGAGTAAAAGGCAATCGGAAGGAAAAGAACGAATGGTCGGAGATGTTTGTTGCTGTTCACGTACAGATCAAAGGATAGAAAGTTGTGAGATTTACAGTACAAAGAGCAGAAGGGAAGCAGAGAGAAAGGCATATATCGAAGAAATTGAAGCCCTAATGAAAACAATTGCTTATAATTAACAGATAATGCAAATAGATTTTGAAATTAAATCGATAGTTCAACGAACAATTTTTGCAAATGTGGCGGGAATGTCAAAAAAGATATTGGGAAAAATTTGAAAGCTCAATTAAAAATTACACTATCTTGAAACATTTCTTGTATAAAATGGTAAAAAGATCAAAGGAGATATTTTATATAGAAAGAAATAATTAAATAATATAATTTGCAATAGAAAAAAAAAAGATACTATTAGATTTTGTGATAATTTAAAATTTGAGGAAAAAATTTTCGTACGAATGGTAGGAATGTTAATTAATGAAGGAATTGAAAATTTGACAAATTAAGATAAAATATATTATACTGAATGTCAGAAGGAATTTGTCACATAATTGCTAACAAATCGTTTGATACGATAGTAAACGTTCAAAAACATTTGTCCGAAGAAGTATTTTACGGATGAACAATTTCAAATTCTTTTAAAATATTTGCATGATATAATATTTGCCGCTTCAAGATTAAATAGTTTAATACAAGAAAGTTTGTTCTTTAATTTACAAATTATATTTGTTATTGATAGGAGCAGCGATTATACATTGTAAAATTTAAAATGACATGCTTTTTAAAATCACAATTATTGCACATAGAAAAAGCTGAAAATGATCATGTGTTGTATTAGCTGATAGTAACCTATATTAAGAAATGAAATTTTGTATATTTTAACAATAAAATTTGCTGTAGTTTTTTAAACTGGAAAATTTGATATTCTACTTTTGTTTTTAACTTTAACTATTTCGAATGAAATTCATTTTCTTCTATTTTCCTAAATCAGTGATATAATCAGTGAAATTTACTTATTTGCGTTCAGAAATTTGCTGGACAGTATCTGAAACACATTGCACTGATCCGAACAATTAGATTTTCCAACTTTTGCTATTTCGAATAAAATCCTATTTCCCTAAATGAAAGTTTATTGGATATTTCAATATTCATCTTCAAATTACATAACTTTCAAAATAGCAAGTATTATGTCCGCATACGTATGAAATATACCAGTCTATTGGGTCAGAAGGTCAGTAGAATCACACTTAAGATTTGGAGGACAAGAATTCTAGTAGCTCTGATTCTCAAAGCAATGATTCTCTCTTCATTTTTACAACTCCAAAAACGCAAGAAATCTTTATAATTTGTAGTGTACAAACAATGATACGAATTTACATCGTTTTCATACAAAAACATAACAAACTGCATAATTATTAAATTGTAGACAACAGTAGAAAACTTCAATTCAAACAACAATAATGATTTGCATAGTTTATAAGAATTCAAATAGTCACAAAAAATTCCTTAAGCAAAATCTAAAAAAAAAAAAAAATTCATGAAGCTACTACCATTCAGTAAGGCTGTCAGTATAAGCACACAATGAAATTTAAGTGATTCTTTGGTGAGGCACTCTCCGATTTTACAATATCACGGAGTAAAACTTTGTGAAACCGATGAAATTATAAAATTTCAACATTATAAAAAGGGAAAAGTTTAACTGCCATGTTTAGCTCAGTTCCTCTTTCTATTCCAATTTTTATCCTTTGAAATACTTTAAATAATGCAATTAGTTAAGAGGTACTAAAATTGAAAAAAGGCAAATTGATTATTTTTTTGTCTAATATAACCTGGTAATTATGATTTCCAGGGATAAAAATTCTCGAATATGCTTTTAAATTTCAAAGAGTCATTCTTTTTCATTTCTGTGAAGTTCATTAGCAGCAAAAGTAGAAAGTTATCAGGAATGTTATCAGTATCTAAAGTGATCCGAGAGCTTCTTCATACCACCCAATTGCGAACATAATTAAGAATCCCGTGATAAAGCCGATATTTTGAAGCGACAGTGTAATATACCATTTATCATTCGTCGACGCGGATTCTTTTTTCAAATGTACCAACTATAAAAAGAAAGTGCACAAGCATTAAAAATATATTTGAGAGATAATTCAAAATCAACTCAGACTGAATTGCCAAATCAAGCTATTTTAAGTTGAATTAAATCAAGTTTCCATTCTTTTCCTTAATTTGGTTACTGATGTAAAATTGAAACTCTGAGAATTTGAACATTCAAAAATCTCTTAAAAAAGTATTACTCCATTGATACTGACAAATTATTAGGAGAAAAGAAATTTGTTGACATACCATATCGAGCCAAGCAACGTACAGAAACATTCCGGCCGTTATGGCAAGCAATATTTCCACAGCACTGTCCACACTAATTGCCGCTAAACCAACAAATAATCCCGCATAAGCGGTTAGAGATGAAAGAAAATTCAAGAACATCGCTCGAGGAATAGAAAGACCGGATTCGAT